TATTTATATGGCTAAAAGATGCAAACTAAGTTATGATTTAGTGAACAGAAAACAACAAAAATTTTAATTATCAAAGTTGTTCTAAAAAAATGCATTGCTAAGGATATTGGCATTCTTCAAAAGTAAGTTGATGTAACTAATGAAGTATGGAAGATTCTATAATTTGATGAGTTATTCAACTCAATTATAGCCAACAATTTTTTTTCTGATCTTGAGTTAGAGGACACTATGATTTGATGATAGAGTGTATAACACATTTTTACATCTTAATTTAAGATGCATATGTAGGAAAAATAAGTAAGGAGACACACTGAAAATGTTTGAGGACCTCCTTTGTAAGCTGACTTAGTCTACATAAATATAACACTGAGCCAGGGATAGTGGCACAAACCTATTATCCCGGAACTCTGGGAGACTGACACAAGAGAATGGTAGATTCAAACCCAACCTGGGCAGCTTAATGACTTAGTGAGATCCAGTTTCAAAGCAAAAAAGGCTGGGTGTGTAGCTCAGTGTGAAGGCCCTAAGTTCAACCCCTAGTATCACCAAAATAAAATAAAATAAACATAGCTCAGTGATAAAGTACTTGCCTACTATGCACAAGACCCTGGGTTCAACTGCAGCACTCCAGCATGGCATTCAAAAAAACTTCATATTGAATTTCCCAGTATGTCTGAGTCCCTGAGTTTGAACATCACCAATGCAAAAATACTGAGTTGATGTTTTCAAGTAAAATGATAAGCATAATATATGCTTTTCTAAATCAATACTGAGCTATCTATATTTCAGCAATTATTATAGAAGTATTTATTTCATGTTTCCAAATATATATGGCTAACCCAAAGATTTCAACCATATATTTTTGAAAGCTGATTTGTTTGAATATTTGTGAAATTATTCTTTGATGATTTTTATCAGAATTTAATAGTGAGTTATAATTTTTTTATTTTTCTATTTTAAAAATAAAAACAAAAACATATTAACAAACAGACATCCGTTTACAAAATAGCACAAGAACAATACAAGCAAGCAAACTTCAAAGTAGTTTCTCAGGAAAGCAAATACAGACATGAAAGAGTGAGTTATAATTTTAAATAAGTTGAATCTTGACTATTAATCATGTGAGCTACATGGTCTCATAGAAATATCATGTTTCACACACTGCAATATGAATGTCATTTTCTATATCACTAGTTTTCAGTATTTGAACTATATCATGAACTATCTCATCTGGGTTTTATGGCTAGTAGGTTGGTTAGTTGTATTCTTTTACCTGCATTATCTGTGGCCATTTCACTTAAATAAAACATTTCACTGAAGGAAAAAATTATCAGATTATACTCACGATGTAGACACTCATTCATTTAGACAGCCCAACTCCTGGCAAACATGGAATTTGCTAAGTTCTGACTCATTGAGACTCTGTGATGTACTGATTATACAGATCATTAATATGAAGACAAGCTCCCAAAGATTTTGAGCATATACTAAACTCTGAAACATTTGGAAAAAACACCAAATTATTGGACTGTTTTATTGTGTGTGACCATCTTTTTCTGATTAAACTTCTGTTGAGGTGATATTTGTCACAGAGGAGTAAAATGCTCTGAGAGAATTAGTGGAAAATACGTACATCTTCAGAATGAACTATATAAAACTCCAGACACATGGTTCTTCAATAGAGTAAAAAGTTTCCATGCAGAAAAGAAAGTAAATAATTTTTCTCAGAAGTCAAATAGACTTTCCATAGATTTTTTAATGAAAATAAACAAGTGAAGATCAGAATTCTTTCCTGCAACTCAGTCATTATAACATAGTCTTTAAAACTATAAAATTATTTCAGTTTTATATAATGAGCTTGTATTTTATTAAACTTCTTTTGATTTTCCAGTAGTGATCTATAATATTTACTTTTATGTTGTGGGATAATTTAGAAAATGAATACTAGAGAATACAAGGGAGCCATATAGATATTAAATATGTGTTCAAATAACTCTTGCCTTTTTTACCTACAATGGTACTTTTTGCTTTATATGCAACAAATTGCGAATCGGTGCCCAAAAGGCTAATTTCAAAAGGTTAAGGCAAAAGAGAGTTTTTAAATTTGTGTGGAATTATCAAGTAACCACTCGTGAATACAGTTGTGTTCATTTTCTTGAAATGAATTTTTAAAGCATACCAGAGCTATCTGAAGTGAAGAGTCTTACATAAATGGATCTTTTGAAAGATGAAACGATTTTATGTAAAATCCAATTATTTTGCTTAAGTATGGTGTAGTAACGTAGTAAGGACTCTGAGCGCCGCTGTTCACCAACCGGGGGACCGGTGCGAGAGATCGTCAGAACCACCGAGTTTTACAGCACAAAGAAGCGACAGATTGAGACAAGCCCTCTTCCAAACTGCACCAAACTCAAGCTTCTATGCTACTGGATTCTGAGCTTTTCTTCCGAATACAAGGGAGTCCACACAGACACACGCGTTTAGAAGTACGTCCAGAGACCGCTCAGTATCTAAGCAAGATCTGCAGGACAGCAATGGCGCCTCAGCAGAGAGGCGGGGACTACAGAGGATTCCTTCTGCTCTCCATCGTCTTGGGGACCTGGTGGGAAGCCTGGGCAGGACAAATTCTCTATTCCGTGCCCGAAGAGACAGACAAAGGATCTTTTGTGGGTAATATCTCCAAGGACCTGGGGCTGGAGCCCCGGGAGCTGGCGGAGCGCGGAGTTCGCATCGTCTCCAAAGGTAGGACGCAGCTTTTCTCTCTGAACCCGCGTAGCGGCAGTTTGGTCACTGCGGGCAGGATAGACCGGGAGGAGCTGTGTGCTCAGAGCTCGCGGTGTCTGGTGAGTTTTAATATTTTAATGGAAGACAAAATGAATCTTTTCCCTGTAGAAGTGGAAATAATGGATGTCAATGATAATGCACCTAGATTCTTGCAGGAAGAAATAACTGTAAAAATAATGGAAAATACAGCCCCTGGGATGCGGTTTCCACTAAATGAGGCTGGAGATCCAGATGTGGGCACAAACTCCCTCCAGGGATACCAGCTCAGCCCCAATCGCCACTTCTCCCTGGTTGTGCAAAGTGGAACTGATAAAAAAAAGTACCCGGAGCTAGTGCTGGAGCAGGTGCTGGACCGGGAAGGAGAGGCGATTCACCATCTGGTCCTTACAGCCTATGATGGTGGGGATCCACCTTTATCTGGCACCACCCGCATTCAGGTGACAGTGGTGGATGTGAATGATCACACACCAGTCTTTTCTTTGCCCCAGTACCAAGTGACTGTGCCTGAGAATGTACCAATAGGCACAAAACTTCTCACAATAAACGCAGTCGACTTGGATGAGGGAGTTAATGGGCAAGTGACATATTCTTTTCGGCAAATAACTCCAAAACTTCTACGAATATTCCATCTCAATTCCCTAACAGGAGAATTATCCACACTAGAAAGCCTGGATTATGAAGAATCCAGCTTCTATGAAATGGAGGTTCAGGCTCAGGATGGTCCTGGTAGTCTGACAAAAGCGAAAGTACGAATCATAATTTTAGATGTGAATGACAATGCTCCAGAAGTGACTGTAACATCTGTAAGTAATTCAATTCCAGAAGACACTCCTCCTGGGACAGTAATTGCTCTTTTCTACCTCCAAGATAGAGATTCTGGAAAGAATGGTGAGGTGACCTGCACTCTTCCAGAAAACCTGCCTTTTAAATTAGAAAGATCAATAGATAATTATTATAGATTGATCACAACAAAACACCTGGACCGGGAAAAATGCTCTGTGTACAATATCACTCTTAAAGCCACAGATGGTGGAACTCCTCCCTTGTCCACAGAAACTCACATCTCCATGTATGTGGCGGACACCAACGACAACCCGCCCATCTTCCCCCAATCTTCTTACTCTGTCTATGTCCCTGAGAACAACCCTAGAGGTGCCTCAATCTTCTCAGTAGCTGCACATGACCCTGACAGTGAAAAGAATGCCCAGGTCACTTATTCCTTGGGCAGCGACATCATCCAAGGGGTGCCAGTGTCTTCCTATGTCTCAATCAACTCTGACACTGGTGTCCTGTATGCACTCCAGTCCTTTGACTACGAACAGTTTCAAAATCTACAACTAAGAGTGAGTGCACGTGACAGTGGGGACCCACCTCTCAGTAGCAACGTGTCACTGAACCTCTTTGTGCTGGACCAGAATGATAATGCACCTGAGATCCTCTACCCCACTATCCCCACTGATGGCTCTACTGGTGTGGAGCTGGCTCCTCGATCTGCAGAACCTGGATACCTGGTGACCAAGGTGGTGGCAGTGGACAGAGACTCAGGCCAGAATGCTTGGCTGTCCTATCGCCTGCTCAAAGCCAGTGAACCAGGACTCTTCTCTGTAGGGCTGCACACAGGTGAAGTGTGTACAGCAAGAGCCCTGCTGGACAGAGACCTACTAAAGCAGAGCCTTGTCGTGGCTGTGCAGGACCATGGCCAACCTCCTCTCTCAGCCACTGTCACACTTACTGTAGCAGTGGCTGATAGCATCCCAGATGTCCTGGCTGACTTGGGAAGCATCAAGATTCCCACTGATCCTGAGCATTCAGACCTCACGCTCTACCTGGTAGTAGCAGTGGCCACTGTCTCCTGTGTCTTCCTTGTCTTTGTCATTGTATTGGTAGCACTCAGACTGAGGCGCTGGTACAAGTCACACTTACTGCAGGCTGCAGTTACTGGGTTGGATGGTGTGCCTGCCTCACACTTTGTGGGTATGGATGGGGTGCAGGCTTTTCTGCAGACCTATTCCCATGAGATCTCCCTCACTGCTGACTCTGGAAAGAGCCATATTATCTTTCCACAACCCAACTATGTGGACACACTCATCAGCCAAGATAGCTGTGACAAAAATGATTCTTTGTTAACCCCCATAGATTTCCATGAATGTGAGGGGGAAGGCACAAGTATTCAGGTGAGTTCAATTTTTCCTTTATCTTTATTTCCACAAGAATTAAATTATGAAAAAAGAATTAAATTATGCATAAAATATCTATTTGTGAAACAAGTATTTTGAAGATAGAGATTAACAAAACCTTGAAGAGGTAAATGCCAGTTTACTGGTTAATTTTTGTGATGATACTTTAGCATGGAACATTATAATATATTCCTTTAATAAAAGTCTATGGATTGGGCTGGGGATTTAGCTCAGCAGCACAGCACCTGCCTGGCGAGTGCGAGGTCATGAGTTCGATTCCTAGTACCGGAAAAAAACCAAAAACCAAAAAAAAAAAAAAAAAAAAAGTCTATGGATATGATTGTGAATAACTAAGTTACCATATTTTTGTACCATCAATCTATACTTTGAACTTGGTTTCTTGTATATTTTATAAATGAGAATGAATTGTTGAATCTCTATACACAAGTTTAGCAAAAGTAAAACAGCTCATATGCTTTCTTAAGATTCTCTTCAGCAATGAGATTTTTAAAAGTTTCTTAAAGATTTTTCAGTGAAGCTCTTTCTTTGTTCTGCCTCTGCCTGCATGTACCTTAACTCGGTGGCCCTGTCCTGTACATTGTGTTTGCTTCATTAATTATTTAAAGCATAATCACCTATTAAAATAAGATATGGGCCAGGGATATAGCTCAGTGGCACAGCACCCGCCTGGCAATCGCAAAGTCCTGTGTTAAATACCTGGTACCAAAAAATAAAATAGGATAGTACTAGAAAGTTAAATTGATGGCTCAAGAATGAAACATGTCAAATTTGACTGAGATCTATATCAAAGACAGGCACAATGTCTAATGCCACATAAGGCCATTCGAATGAATAAAATATGTAAAATAAAATGTCATTTCAGGGATGTAAGCATTTATGAAATAGGCAGTTGTGTGCTTTAACACAATGCCAGTGTGCTTAGTGGTACAGACATGTGAACTGTGTCTGTAGGCTCTTCAAGTGGGAGACTGAAAATGGTGGCTCTATGAAACAACCATTTCACATGCTTAAATCCTGGAACTGTCGTCAATTTTATTTATTGGGTCTAGTAAAATAGTTGGTTAGAAATAACCGAACTTGGGATTGAATAGAACCATATTTATTTATATGGTAACTTGGTAAGATCAGTACTTGAAATGATTATCATATGTAACAGATAGATGTCAAAATAGTCTTGACTCCTGGGTCCTTTTCAGTATGAATTTAAAGGACTTATTTTAAAAGGTAGTAGTACTTGGTGATATTTGTACAAAAATGACTGAATAATAAAGTGGAAGAATATTTCACTCATTCTGCAATGTTGACATGCATAGTCACTTAGGAAGAAGACAATATCACTAACATTTTGTGAGGAAAGTCCAGTGGCAGAAATATGATCATCAGGTACTTTGAAAAGAAAATGCCCCTAATCAAACTTTGTTAGAGTTTGTTAGAGAAAATGTTTTCAAGCAAAGAGAGAAATCATCATTAAACGAAAAAAAACTATTATGAGCGAACTTTCAAAAGACAGGTTCCTTCAAATTCTGAGGTCATCATGGAATATAAAATGCTTAGGTAGGCACCAGTATGGCAAAGAAAAATATTATTCCCCTGGTAACTTTAGAGATTGATGTTATATGTTGTAACCAGAAGAACCTAACATTCTCGAAAGTGGGGTAAAAGCTTCCCTAAGATTACAACTTCAAACGTTATTAAATATATACCTACCGACTCAGGTTGGTTCAGATAGACAAAATTATCCTACTGGTTAAACTGAAACAGCAGAGGCTGCAGTTTCCTAGTGTGCGCTCTGGGCGCCGCTGTTGGCCAAAGAGGAGAGCTCTGCTCTCGCCAGTCTTCTCGCGCAGCCGCACCGCGCTTGCCAGGGCAGCCCTCTCACACTCGCCAGGGCCAGCCCTTACACCGCTTCCACCTTGGAAAAAGAACCCTTCTCTGGACTGGGACTGAGAACTAAAGCCCATTCGGAGCTCCGAATATCTGCGATACAGACATTATTCGTGGTTCCGCGTCTCCAGGCTGGTGAGCAAGCTGAGCGAGCAGGCGGGATGGGGAGCGGCGCTGTGGAGAGGGGCAGGGCGGAGAGGCGGCCAGTGCTCTTTCCCTTGCTGCTGTCTTTGTTCAGCCCGGCGCTCTCCGAGCAGATCCGCTACAGGATCCCTGAGGAAATGCCCAAGGGCTCGGTGGTGGGGAATCTCGCCAAGGACCTGGGCTTCAGCGTCCAGGAGTTACCGACTCGGAAACTGCGCATCAGTTCGGAGAAGCCTTACTTCACAGTGAGCGCAGAGAGCGGGCAGTTGCTTGTGAGCAGCAGGCTAGACAGGGAGCAGATATGCGGGAAGAGGCCAGCGTGCACCCTGGAATTTGAGGCTGTTGCTGAAGACCCACTGAACTTTTATCATGTGAGTGTGGAGATCGAGGACGTTAATGACCACACGCCAAAATTCTCGCATATTTCCTTTGAGCTCCAAATAAGCGAATCTGCACAGCCGGGCACACGATTTATATTAGGAGCTGCCCATGATGCAGATATTGGTACCAACGCACTACAGAATTACCGGCTCAGTCTCAATGATCATTTCTCACTCACGAATAAAGAGAAATCAGATGGCAGTAAATACCCCGAAATGATATTGAAGACACCTTTAGACAGGGAAAAACAGAACTTCTACGACTTGATCTTGACTGCCATTGACTTTGGGGAGCCACCCCTCAGCAGCACTGCACAGATACACGTCCTAGTCACTGATGCCAATGATAATCCTCCCATGTTCAGTCAAGACATATACAGAGTGAGTCTTCCAGAAAACGTACGCCCAGGAACCACCGTGCTGCAGGTGACTGCCACCGACCAGGATGAGGGTGTCAATGCTGAGATCACATTCTCTTTCAGTGAAGCTAGCCAGATCACCACATTTGACCTGAATTCTAATACTGGGGAAATTACTACTCTACACACATTAGATTTTGAAGAAGTAAAAGAATACTCCATTGTTGTGGAAGCAAGGGATAGCGGAGGACTGATTGCACAATGTACAGTGGAGATAGAAATCCTAGATGAAAATGACAACGTCCCACAAGTGATATTCCAATCTCTATCCAACCTAATTATGGAGGACGCCAAGCTAGGAACACATATTGCTTTGCTTAAAATTCGTGACATGGATTTTGGACAAAATGGAGAAGTTATTTGTAAATTAGAAGGTGAACTTCCATTTAAAATACTCACTTCTTCAAGAAACACTTATAAATTAGTGACAGATGGGGTTCTAGACCGAGAGGAGAACCCAGAGTACAACATCACCATCACAGCCACCGACAGGGGTAAGCCACCCCTCTCCTCCAGCTCCAGTATCACCCTGCACATTGGTGATGTAAACGACAATGCTCCTGTTTTCAAACAGGCTTTGTATGTGGTCCACATGGCTGAAAACAACCCACCCGGGGCCTCTATCACACAAGTCAGCGCCTGTGATCCGGATTTGGGGCCCAATGGCCAAATCTCCTACTCTATTGTGGCCAGCGACCTGGAGCCTAGAGAGCTGCTGTCCTACGTGTCTGTGAGCGCACAGAGCGGAGTGGTGTTCGCGCAGCGCGCCTTCGATCACGAGCAGCTGCGCGCCTTTGAGCTCACTCTGCAGGCCCGCGACCAGGGCTCGCCCGCGCTCAGCGCCAACATGAGCCTGCGCGTGCTGGTGGAAGACCGCAACGACAACGCGCCGCGGGTGCTGTACCCCGTGCTGGAGCCCGACGGCTCGGCGCTCTTTGACACGGTGCCGCGCGCCGCGGAGCCCGGCTACCTGGTCACCAAGGTGGTGGCGGTGGACGCTGACTCGGGACACAATGCCTGGCTGTCCTACCACGTGCTGCAGGCCAGCGACCCTGGGCTCTTCGGCCTGGGGCTGCGCACTGGCGAGGTGCGCACGGCGCGTGCTTTGGGCGACAAGGACCCTGCGCGCCACCGCCTGCTGGTCGCTGTGCGAGATGGTGGGCAGCCTCCTCTTTCGGCCACCGCCACACTGCACCTTGTTTTCGCTGACAGCCTGCGAGAGATCCTACCCGACATTGATGAACGCCCTGTGTCCTCTGACCCGCAGGCAGAGCTGCAGTTTTACCTAGTTGTGGCTTTGGCCTTAATCTCCGTCCTCTTCCTTCTTGTGGTGACTCTGGCTATTGCCCTCCGCTTGCGACACTCCTCCAGTGCAAAGGCAGGGGGCTGCTTTCAGCATGGTTTCTGTTCCAAGTCTGGACCCGTGGTTCCCTCCAATTACAGCGAGGGAACTTTGCCTTATTCCTATAATCTGTGTGTTGCACAAACGGGCAAGACGGAGTTTAATTTCCTAAAATGTAGTGAGCAATTTAGTTCAGGACAAGACATACTTTGCAGTGATCCATCTGGAGCCTTATTTCCACTTTGTAATGTGAGCGAGTCAACCTCCCATCAGGTGAGTTTCTTTTAAGCATACCTTCCTCTCATTTTCTACCCAGTTCTCTATGTTCACAGGAAAATAAGTGTACAAACTTCAGTTCTAGTGAATTATCTTAAGAAGATTGCAGTGAATTTCCTTTAAACATAACCCTATTTTCTACTGAGTTCTCCACATTCACAGGAATATATATATGAATTTCAGATGTCCTAAGTTATCTTAAGAAAGTACTAGTGAGGTGTTGGGAATGTAACTAACTAGTATAGCACTTATTTAGCATGCCAGAGGCAAAGGATTTGATCCCTAACAAGACCCCCACACACATCCAAAAGTTTAAAAGCTCTCCTACAATTCTTCAAAGAATGGATGAAATAGGAGTAATTGTGTGGCTTATAAGTGAATCTTACCAAATTTACACAGCAGTGATTGTGTGGTTTTAACACAATGTGAAATCCTTAGGCAATGTTATTGGCTCTCTCTTGTAAGAAGCTATTAAGATTTCGTCTTAAATTTTTCTTTTCATGATATTGTATGCAATGAATAGTTTTTAGCTTATACATAATGTACATATAAAAAGTCATTTAAATTAATTTACAGCAAAAAATTTCAGCTAAAATTAGATGTTTTCATTGGTAGCTTAACTGAAAGGTTTTCTACACTCATTTGCTGTTTTGTTTCTTATGTTTACTTTTATTTTTTTAATGTGCTGGAATAATATCTTAAACTGAGTTTTTATGTTCACATACCTTATAATTTTATGCATTGTACTCTGTGTGTAGGGGTGTTGTGTGAATGTGTATGTGTGATCATTTACTTAGCAGAAGATCCATTATATTCATCGGAAGATCAAAAGCAGGTTCTCTTTACTGGCAGAATAGGTTTTTCAGGATTCATCTGTATTGAAGCTCATTTAGTAGACGCCTCCACCAAAGAAGAGATAAATAATGCTTTGCCTCTGTTGTTCTTCACATATTCCTAACATGTAATTTTAACTCTCTTACTGCAACCCTTAGCTAATCTATCTAAAAATCTAATCATTGTATTTCCTCTAATAGAGAAAATCATGAACTCTTCAATGTTTTAGCTAAATAGCCAATCTTATGTACACATGAAATCTATACTAAAGATTATAGTACATGTTCTCAGCTATCTCCTAAGTATCCTTTGGCAACTACTATGGCCACTTCACAAATTGAAGTAAAGGAAGTTCTTTTGTAGTAGAACTTATTGTTCAACTTAGTGATAGTTAAGTGTTCCTTGCTTTTGTTCTTTTGGTCAAAGTAGTAAGGAAGTGAAAATAAACTTTAGGATATGTCTACTTTAAAAAGTAGTGTGCTTTAAAATGTAATAATTTCTTTTTGGTGAAAGGGGTGGGATGGAGATTTGCTTTTGGTAGCATATTGATTAATCCTGCCAAGTACTTTGTATCCATCTACAAAAATATAAATAATTTCAGTAAGATAGTGAGACCACATAATCTGATAAAACTTAAATTTTAAAAGCATTTGTCCTGTTAGAATGTCACAACGTTAATTTGAAACATTACCAGTGTGTCATTTAAAAGATATTTATAATGAAAAGCTAAAAGTAACTGTACAGTAAGCTACTGCGATTATTGAGTTTAAGTAAAAACAATTTGTGATGAAATAATGTCAGTAGGTCTATCTGAATCTAAAACTGACCTCATGTATCCCGAAGACATTTACAACGAGTATGAAGGCACAATAGGAAATAATTATCATGTTTATTTAAGAGAAGCAAATGTATCCTAGAAATGTGAGTAGTTTTATATGCTAACCTCCAAATCTGATCATTCGATAATATTTTATAAAACCTTCACCCCTTTTTATCCCACATTCTTTGACAAATTATTTTAAAATATGGATACAGGGACAAATTCAATTCAAAATGAAGTACTAAAACGCTAGTAGTATATTTTTTTCCTCATTAATCTAGCAGAGTATTACATAAGTTATTTGTACCTAAGTGCAGTAACTGCTTAGGACTCTAAGCGCCGCTGTTCACCTACTGGGAGAGAAATGCAAGCTAAAGACCATCCAAATCTAAGTGCTCACACATCACAAAGACCGGCAGATCCCATAAACCAACTTCTGAGATGCAGAGAAATTCCGTACCTAAATTTAGGACCCTCTGGCTTTGCATAAGATTGTGATCTACATAACTGCTGCAAAAAGGTAAACAAGAGCCCTTCGCCCAGCGAGGATTCGCAAACTATTCTGTAGCGAAAGAACAATGGCGGCTCCAAAGAATCACTACGGGCGCGGTGAGCTGGCCCTGCTGTGCGCGCTGCTGGGGACACTGTGGGAGATCGGGACAGGGCAGATTCGATACTCGGTGCCAGAAGAGACAGACACAGGCACCTTCGTGGGCAACATCTCCAAGGACCTGGAACTGGAGCCCCAGGAGCTGACCGAGCGCGGAGTCCGCATCGTCTCCAGAGGTAGGACGCAGCTTTTCTCTCTCAACCCGCGCAGCGGCAGCTTGGTTACCGCGGGCAGGATAGACCGGGAGGAGCTGTGCGCCCAGAGCGCGCGGTGTCTTGTAAATATTAACATCCTAGTTGAGGAGAAAGGAAAGCTCTTTGGGATAGAAATAGAAATAACTGATATTAACGATAATAACCCGAAATTCCATGTTGAAAACCTGGAAGTAAAAATTAATGAAATATCTTCCCCTGGAGCACGTTTTCCACTCCCAGAAGCGGTTGACCCGGATGTGGGCGTGAACTCCTTACAGAGCTACCAGCTCAGCCCCAGTCACCACTTCTCTCTGGACGTGCAAACCGGAGATGACGGAACTATAAACCCAGAGCTGGTGCTGGAGCGCACCCTGGACAGAGAGGAAGAGGCCACTCACCACCTGGTGCTCACCGCCTCGGACGGTGGCGAGCCGCGCCGCTCCAGCACAGTGCACATCCAGGTGACAGTGTTGGATACAAACGACAATGCCCCGGTTTTTGCCCAACCGATTTACCGAGTGAAAGTCCTTGAGAACGTGCCCCCGGGCACCCTGCTGCTTACAGTGAGAGCTAGCGACCCTGATGAGGGAACCAACGGAAAAGTGACATATAAATTGCGGAAAATCAATGGAAAACAATCTTCCTTATTCCAGCTAAATGAAAACAGTGGGGAAATATCAGTCGCAAAAAGTCTAGATTATGAAGAATGTTCGTTTTATGAAATGGAAATTCAGGCTGAAGATGTAGGGGCGCTTTTGGGGAGGACCAAAGTGCTCATTTCGGTAGAAGATGTAAATGACAATAAACCCGAAGTGACCATTACATCTTTGTTTAACCCAGTGTTGGAAAATTCTTTTCCTGGTACAGTAATTGCCTTCTTGAATGTGCATGATCGAGATTCTGGGAAGAATGGACAAGTTGTCTGTTTCACACGTGATGATTTACCTTTTAAATTAGAATCATCAATAAATAATTACTACAGATTGGTGACATGGAAATATTTGGACCGAGAGAAAGTCTCCGTCTATAATATCACAGTGATAGCCTCAGATCTAGGAATCCCACCTATGTCTACTGAAACTTACATCACCTTGTTTGTAGCAGACACCAATGACAACCCACCTACTTTCCCTCATGCCTCCTACTCGGCCTATATTCCAGAAAACAACCTGAGAGGTGCGTCCATCTTCTCTTTGACTGCACATGATCCTGATAGCCAGGAAAATGCACAAGTCACTTACTCTGTGACTGAGGACTCTATCCAAGGAGTGCCTGTGACCTCCTATGTCTCCATCAATTCCGACACTGGTGTCCTGTATGCACTACAATCTTTTGACTATGAGCAGATCCAAGACTTGCAGCTACTGGTGATTGCCAGTGACAGTGGAGACCCACCACTAAGCAGCAATGTGTCATTGAGCATATTTGTGTTAGACCAGAATGATAATACACCTGAAATCCTGTATCCTGCTCTCCCCACTGATGGATCCACTGGTGTAGAGCTGGCTCCCCGATCTGCAGAGCCTGGATACCTGGTGACCAAAGTTGTGGCAGTGGACAGAGACTCTGGGCAGAATGCCTGGCTATCCTACCGCCTTCTTAAGGCCAGTGAGCCAGGGCTTTTTTCTGTAGGGCTACACACAGGTGAAGTGCGCACAGCAAGGACCCTGATAGACAGGGATGCACTGAAGCAGAGCCTTGTGGTGGCTGTGGAAGACCATGGCCAGCCTCTTCTCTCAACCACCGTCACACTCACTGTGGTCGTGGCTGACAGCATCCCTGAAGTACTAGCTGACTTAAGCAACATCAGGACCCCTGGGATTCCAGATGATTCTGACCTCACGCTCCACCTGGTGGTGGCAGTAGCCATTGTCTCCTGTGTCTTCCTTGCCTTTGTCATTGTGCTGCTGGTGCTTAGGCTTCAGCACTGGCAGAAGTCTCGCCTGCTCCAGGCCTCTGGAGGTAGATTGGTGGGTGTGCCACCCTCACACTTTATGGGCATCGATGGGGTACAAGCTTTTCTGCAGACCTATTCCCATGAGGTCTCCCTCACTGCAGGTTCCCAAACAAGCAATCTTATCTTTCCTCAGCCCAACTATGCAGACACACTGATTAGCCAAGAGAGCTGTGAGAAAAATGATCCTCTATTAACATCTGTAGATTTTCATGAATTGAAAGATGAAGCTGCTTGTGCTCAGGTGAGTTCAGTTCTTCGCTTTTATCTCTCAGAGTAATTTTGTTCAATATAAACTCATGTGCCTTGATACACACAGTGTGATAATAGTTGAAAATAATTCCTGTGTATGTTTTAATGGTGACACTATAAAATAGAACTCTAATAGCCATAGGTGGTTGTTTCATTTGCTTTAAAAAGATTTGGACAATATTGTTCAACCTTTTTTTCCCTCAACCTTTTAAAGCCTTCTATTATTTTATTTCTATTATCACTCATTCAGTTAAGAATCAGAAACCCATTGTACATATTAAATTACCTATTGTATACATGTATATCCTAAATTACCATAACTCAATTACTTCAAGGAAGTAATCTAGTTTATTGGAGTATCCCTTTGTGATACTGTATTGCAGAGTAGTCATTCCCCTGTAACTTTTAAGAATGAATTAATGCAATATGAATATCAGGATGTAGTGAATTAATTTTGAAATATGAAGAGCAGATTTCTTGGCAGGGTATATCCTATCTTGACTTCATCATACAGTCAGTTTTCTTGAATAAAGTAGAAGAGTATGGAGAAATAATTTTACAGAGTGTTGACATTATCCAGAAGAGGAGGTATCTGAGGATTGGTACAAATTGCACAACCTCACAAAATAATTTGCAACAGTATTTTTGTCCTTTAATGTATGTGATATAAAACAGTATTAGAGATGTCTGAGTGAGAATCATAGGAACCAGTGAATATCAATGTATCACAACTAATAAAGAAACAAATCTGTAAATTCAGCATAATATGAAGTCTTTAAAGGCAAGACCTCTGTCTTATTTCGCCACTCATGAGAGCAATACTTAGGTATAGGTAAGAGTGCAATGTATTTGAATGGTGAAACAGTAGACCAGTATATGTAGACTTCATTAAAACCAACGTGCTATTTCTAACAATTGGAAATGATGAGAAAAAGACACATGAAACATGGCTTTATAATTTATTGCTTAAAATGTTAGCATAAAGATATATCATCTTTTAGTTAGGCGTATTTACACTAATCCCAGTGGTTAAACTGAAACAGCAGAGGCTGCAGTTTCCTAGTGTGCGCTCTGGGCGCCGCTGTTGGCCAAAGAGGAGAGCTCTGCTCTCGCCAGTCTTC